CTACTCTGGGCCTTGAAGCATCAGCCTGAGAGTTTGAAACACACAGAATTTTGGTCCACAAAATTTGAACTGTTCAGATTTTCCCACAGACTGGGAGTCTTATCTTGCAGTCTTGTCTTTATGCCATAGTTTAAATCTTGTGAGTAAAATCTCAGTAAAAGACAAATGCAAAGCCTTTGTATAAGCATGATTACTCTTCATTTGATATATAATGTAATTATTAAACTCTGAAAAGGTTCTGCCCACTTCGGACTATTAAACCCATTCCTGTGTAAAAACTTACATCACACTGAATATTTACTTTTTATTGCTGTCCCACATAAGTTACAGGAATGCCACCTTAAATATGTTCCTTTCAATGCCGTGTTTTAATGCAGTTGCTAAAGATCTGGCTGTTCTGTACCTACTAACAAGTACTGAAGTGTTTATAATCATGCCAAGCTGAAGGCCTGCTTTCGCAACTACAAGATGTTCAGGAACGCATCCAAAAAAAGCTGAGATCAGCCTACATATGGAGGGTTTCCTTTAGTGGAGAGTATTTCTGTAAACAGAGAAGGAAATCAAGCATGTCACTGTTTGGGGACAAGTTTCCTAATTTATAGAAATCACTGCTACCCAGCCGAAGTTGGTGAAGCTATGACAGCTCATTCCCTGCAATAGATCTGCCCTTTGGCTTCTGCAAATGTGTATTTGCATGGATAATGTGGCACAGGCTGAATGTGGCCATCCACACTAACTAATATTCTCCCAAGGGAATAGGATGCCACTCTCAAAAACATAACTTTTGCAGACTGTGTGCTGCACTGTGTGCTGCACAAGAACTGGTTTCTTTTTGGCGATGAAATACAAAGACTGCAACCTGCACTCAGACTCTATTTCTTACCAGCTTCTCCTTAAAAGAAATTACATCAGTGGCAAAAATCCTACTGCCTGAGAGGAATATCTGGCCAAACCATAATACATCTAAAAACTTCAGCATATATTCTTACAGATAAGAATATCAAATCACCTTTCAAGGTGTCAGGATCAAAGACCCCAGCAAGCCTCCAGGCTTTTGCTGATTCAGCCCTCCAACAGGAACACTATTAAATAGGTTCAGGAAAGATTTCAGAACTCACACCCATCTCCATGTCTTTACAGGGTTTTACTGTTGCTGATGACTTTTCTGAAACAGATAATTTTGCCAGCAGTATGCATGTGGAAATGAATTTGGCCCTAAAAAAAAAAAAAAAAAAAAAGAGAGGGAAAACCCCATAGTTGTAAGCCAGAACTTCTTACAATGAACTTGTAAAGGAAAACAGTTTTCTATCCCTTGTTCAAAACACAGTGCAATTTCTCTAAATTGACTCCTACTCATTTTCTTGTCCCTGGTGGATATGACATGAAGAAACACTCAAAGCAAAGGAAGAAAGACTTAGGCAAGACATTAAAAGAAGAGATAGTGAAGTGCTGGGACAGATTGCCTGGAGAGGCTTTGGAATCCCCATTACTGGTGTTTGATGTTTATCTTTTCTCTTCTAAGATAATACAAGCATTTGTAGGGAAGGATAGAGATAGTGATTTTGTCCTAAGAAAAAGAGTGGATGGCTTGAAATCTCTGCCAGATTCCTGCCATCCTCCCCTCTACTTTCCTTGTGATTTATGTTTCCTTGGGGTTTCTGCCTGCCTTCTCCTATTTTCTTAACTCTATATTATGGAGGATTCACATATAATTGTTGGATATTTGAGTACAATAAGCTGTTTTTCACTTTCTTTGATTTTCCAGCTACATTTTGGTTGTTACATATCTGAAATAGCATATGACATATGTTAAACTGCACTTCAGCAAACCGTAGTTTGGAACAAAGGATACAGATCTGGATTTGGAGTTCAGCGAAGAGCAAACCAATCTCACGTTACTGTTCTGCCAAAGAAAGATGTGGTATGTTTGAGGTTAGGGCTCTCAGAGGCTGCTCAGAGGCCAGTGAGCCATCTCCTCAGCCACAAAGTATATGGGCTGGATCACAGGAAGGGTACTAACTGTAGGATCATCTGGGTGGTCTTCATCCCTCAGCCTGGCTGATTTGCAGACTATGCAAATCCTCACTCTACAAATGAGCAAGAGAAAAGATAGAAAAGTATTTCTTTCCATGGTAGGTAAACAACATATTTCCCTCTGCCCTTCAATCGTGTTGCTTGAAGCCAAGCTTCTGTTGAGTCATAAAGCCAAAGGAACCACTGAGTTCCCCTGTGAGGTTGAAAAGCTAAGACCCATTCTCCCAAAAAATAGTTTTGTAACAGCACAGAGACATTAGGATTCCTTTTCTTGAAGAATTTTACAAAATGTCCAGAGTAGAATTTGAAGGTTATTCTCTCTTTAATGCATATATGTATACATATAATGGAATATACCTGTGGGTAAGTAAGCCTATAGGCCAGGGCTGGGTGCTGCAGCCCTTACACAGGTAATCCCCTGATATTGTTTTGAATGTTTGCCACAGATAAAGCAAGAGGGACTCAGGAGGACTTACAAGTCTTGACTGCACACTTGTCATATCGTGGCCTCTAACAGCATTATCTCTGAATACAAAATACCTCTGTGTTTTATCTCACTGCAGGCACAAGTGACAAGTGTCTTTTCTGCAAGCAGGAGTTAGACTGTGACAAGGTTTTCTTCATTCATCAAAAGTTTAGTGCGTCAGTCTGAAAAACCAACTACTTGCCTGCCCACCCTTTGTGCTTGGAGCATCCATTGATGCTGACAGATACTGGTTTAAGAGCATGAATGCCTGGGTTAAAGACAGTGACCCCAAGGACTGGATTTCAGATCACAAAATTGACCATAAGAATCAGCTGTGAAACTAATATGAGAATTAAAGTGAAGAAAAAGAAGAAGAAAACGACTTTGGAGATATTACAGTGTATACTTATGTCATATTGCCATGTAGGAACAAGTGCCTGAAATTAGCAGTTGAATGACCATGAATGTGTTTGAGTGTGGGGAGGGTGTTTTTCTGTTAATATAGATCAGAATCCCCTTTAATTAGAGGTTACAGGTCATGAGGTCCTGACAAACCCGTGCTTTCACTCTGTCTCCTCACTCAAAAATAGGATTTGGGGAAGCAGAGAGGCATGTGGGGGGGATGTTGCAGGTTTTTTGTTTTTGCACAAGGTGTACCTAACGTAGTAACACTGAACTTGATTGATACCAGTTTTAAGCAAATTGGGTTTTTTTACTTTTTTTGGTTGGTTGGTTGTTTTTTTGTTCTGTTTTGTTTTGTTTTCTTTTTTTTCCTGCCCTTAAGCAAACCTGAGAAGTGTTCCAGGGCTGTGGCTTCAGCAACAAGCAGCATGAGGCTGGCTGAGCTGCACAGACTCCCACAAAGGGTGTCTGGTTTCCAGCAGATGTCCCAGACACCAAGCCATTAGATCCCACCACAACATAGTTGCGTAAAATGTTGTGCATTGGCTCTGGTCCGACCCCGATGGGACTGTTCCCCTTCCCTGGGTGGGTTGAAACATCCCACTTGGGCTGTGGGTTGTGTCCAGCAAGCCTTCTCCCTCCAGGGGATGGTGAGGTTCCTCCTTGTGGGAACGAGAAAGGGAAGAGATAGGTGGGAGTTTTCCCTTCACTTTTACAATTGTGTTTTTAAAAACTGACAAGCGCTTTCCTAACAGACTGCTGGCACCTAGATTTGCTGCCAGGATGGATGGGAAAAGAAAAACAGAAAGGTCTAAGGCTTCTGACAACTTCTAGGAGTGTTGCTTGCCTTCAGGAAAAGAAGGACCCAGAGACAAATGCTCAGCTGATGTCAGCTGGCATAGATAAATGATGGCAGCACCAGGAAGCTAATTTACACCAGCTGGGCATCTGGCCCCGCAGAAGAGGAGTGTTCTGCACTGAAGAATATGAGATGGTGAGGAGCCTGCACATTCAAGAGCATTACTAGTGTCAAAATTGCTGTTGGTCATCTCCCTCTTTTCAGCGTCATGTGCCTCCCACCTGTGGCCTTGCTGGGGACAGAGTTTGCAGAGTTTGAAGATGGTAACTGCTTCTGACCACAACATGCTCATATTTTCCAGCAAATCTAACCATAAAAATCATGCCACAAATTGTCCAAATTCCATAAAATAGTCCCATGTGAAGCAGTAGTGAAATCATGCAAGAATGCTGCTTTTGAAAACAAAATGGTCTTAACCAGAAGAGACCATAAGTTTTGTTCAGGGGATTTCAGACCAGGCTGAAATCTGGCTCTGCCCCCCCCTTGTCCTTCTTCCTGCTTTTTTTGAGATGTGTACTGTCAAACTGAGCTGTGAAAATGGGCCAGGCACCACATCCAGAGAAGCAATAACCTGGCACCCTCGTCAGCAAAGTAATGGCATCACAGCCCAGCTTCTGCATCGCTGCATGTGCTGCCTGACTTGCAGGCAGAGTGAACTTCCCTTGGGAAGTTCGAATGTATTATGGTCTCATGAGCTGTCCCAAGCCTCTGCTTCCATCATCTTGCACCTCTTGAGTAATGCAGAGTGTGCAGAACCGGTGCCAGGCCTTCTGAAGCGGTTCTGACACTCTTCTTGCTTAAGTCAAATATAAGTTATTTTACAAGCTCTAAAACAGTGGAAAATGAGCACTGGTACTGCCCTGTTTTTCATGAGCTGACCTCTGTCAGTTTCTAATGTGCAGGACTGGTAACTCTTCATTGTGCTTGCAAGTGTGATCAGGATCCCATCTGCAGTAGCACACAGCTTTTACAACCTTCACAGCCTAAAAGAAGCAGTGTTTTTTGGTGTGCTAGCAGTTTGTTTGTTTGTTTATTTCTTTTAGAAGAATCTTTAACCACAGCAGATTTTTCCATTCTCTAGGAGAAGCACTGGAGGACAAAAGTGAAAGTATGATCACTGGGAGAATAAAAAAATAGCAGGTTAATAGAATCACAGAATCCCTTTAAGATTGAGTACAGCCATTAATCTAACACTGCCGAGTTCACTACTAGACAGTGCCCCTAAGAACAACATCTTTTAAATACCTCCAGGGATGATCACTCAGACACTTTCTTGGACAGTGTGTTCCACTGCTTGACAACCCTTCTGCTGAAGACATTTTTACTAATATCCAATCTAAACTTTCCCTGAAGGAACTTAAAGCCATTTCCTCTTGCCCTGTCTCCCTTTACCTGGAAGAAACAATTTGGTTGCAAAAGAAAACAGGTATGTAGTCATTGTGGTTGTTATTATATATAGTTATAGAGCAACATAAAAGTATAAAAATAACACTTAAGAAAATGTATAAGGCTAAGAAAGAGAAAGAAAGGATAAAAGTAGAGAGATATATAGTTACCAACCGTTGGATCCCGTGATGAGACTTGGTATTTTCAATGTCAGTGTGTGTGTGTAACTTATGTAACAGGCTGCTGACCATTTTCCTTTGGATTACGGGCCTTCATTCTGCTCCCCATTCCTTTCTTCCAATTTATGGGGCTGAGCACTTGGATACTGGTCTTACTACTAAAGACTGAGGCAAAGAAGGCATTAAATGCCTCAGTCTTTCCCTGATCCTTTATCACTCCCCGCATCCAATAAAGGATGTAGATTCTCCTTGTGTTGCTGCTGTATTTATAGAAACTATTTTTATTGTCTTTTATAGCAGCAGCTAGATAATATTCTAGTTGGCCTTTGGCCCTTCTATTTCTCTTCCTGCAATATCTCACCAGGTCTGGAAAGGAAGAAAATTAAATTGATTGTTATTACAAAAAAACCCATATAAGATGAGAAGAAAAATTCAACCACTCACATGTCCTATATTTGTCATATGCTTAGACCAGAAAAAGCATGTGCTCCTAAACCATTCTCCAGTATAAAACTTCCTGGCTACCAGTCAGGCTCAGAGACTTGCCATGCTGGAGGCTGCTGCCTGAAGGGAGCTTCAGTAGCTCTTTTAAGGACCTTCCCTCCCTGGCCTTCCCTAATGGCTTTTTGAACCTTTTTATGCTTCTGTAACACAAAGCATCTCATGGTGGTGAGTTCCTTCATTTCACACAGTGAGGACAGTGTGAGGGGCTGTCATTTCTCAGCCTGCTCCAAGAGCATGGAAGCACAGAGAGCACAGTGAACACCACTGAACTTTTATTGCACCAAGCACTGATGTGAAAATCAGAGATGTCAGGTGGAGTGGGATTTCTCTTGAGCCATGGAGCAGCAACATCTAGTACTAAATAAATTGTTCTTGCTAGCCTCCATCTGGGTTAGAGTGGTAGAGAGGACTAGTGCCAGGTCCTGGTCTAGCTAGTGAGTCCCTGACTGCTAGGATATCAGTACCATTGATTAGTTTTATTCCAGCAGAACCTGAAGGTCTTGGATCTGATCTGCATTTTCTAAATACATCAAAAAGACAATTCAGCTCACCAGAGCTGACCACTGGAATATTTAGGGAGCAAGAGCAGGCAGATTCAAGTGGGTGCTATAGGTACCATCTTTTGCCACTTCTATATATTTGCTGGATGCCTGAGTAGACAGTGCAGGTTTCAGGAACACCTGTCAGACCATAACCACAGAAATGAGGAGCACCAGTTGCTTTGTCAGCATCTTACAATGATCTTTGAAGCATCCTCTGCCCTGGGACGAAGTGTGGGGTTATGTCTGATGCATCTGCCAAATTCATTTTTGCTCTTGATACGCCCGGAAAGTGTTAGTTTAGACAAAACTGAGGCTCTTTTCTTGTCAACACTAGACACTCAGAAAGGCAACAGAAGTGTGTATCTGTGTGTTAGCCAACACAGTGCTTCTTTGTGCAAGTGTTTAAAAGGGAGAGTGCCCAGATCCCTGTCTTTGCTCTTTGCTGTCTCCAAGATGCTTGAAGCCTGAAGAAAATGCAGCCTCTTCCTCTGCTTAGCTGCATTATGTTTTGAAACAAGTTGTCAATTTCCTTATTAATGATAAAAACATAACCTGTTTTATTTCTTTTTAGTTGATAGACCAGTATATGACTGAATAACAGCACATAACTGAAAGCTTGCAAATACTTTTCTATAAGGATGGAAGCAATATAGGAGCTTAAGTTGCAATACAAGCCTAAAGGTGTGTTTCTCACAAGCATCTGAATTGTGATTGCTACACTTGCTTTTCATATGGAAGTGTATTAACCCTAGAAAATGCTTTAAATTAATATTTCTTGTAAACCACACACACATGCTTTGACATACTGTAAAAAAAAATAAGCTGCAACAACTGTGTTTGTACAGTAAGTACACACCAAGGGTTTGTACCTTTTTAGATTGACTTCTAGATCAGAGTTGAAGAATTGCCAAGAGACTTCTGCAAGGCAGAAAAGTCTTGTGGTAACAGTGTGGGAATTACTCAAGTTGTTGGAACTAGCCAAACCAAGATCATTTATTCCCAGATAATTGCGTCAAATCAAGTCTGACATACATGCAATTGTGCCTGTGAAGGGAGATAATATAACGTAGATAATACAGAATAGGAACACAGACGTCATGAGCAAAATTAGTTCCTGACGTAGCTTCACTGGAATCGGTAGATATCACCCTGGCAATGAATATGATTCAAATTATTGCACAGAAATGATATATTACTGCAACCTTTTCAGTATATATGAAAAAGAACTTTTTAATGTGTTAGTAATCACTTTTAATAATAAAATTACTAAATGCCGTATTCCTAATGAGCTAGCCAGAGTGTTGTAAAAGCATTTATCTAGAAATTTTTTTTTGAAAATTGGGAGAGGTGCAGCAAAGTGTCAGACCTGCTCATCACTACAGCATTTTCATGTGATACCATAGGCCAAAGTAAGTTCTTAAGAAACAAAAATGTAGTAGGAAAACAGGACCTCTGGCCAAGGAAAACACATATTTAATTAATTAATTTGATTAATTAATTTGAGAGAGGATGATTATTCTGCCAATATCCCTGTAAAAAACAACAACTTCGAAATACAGCTGTAGTGTCCCTAAAATTAAGTTTTGTGCTCTGACCAGAACACATTGACTAGGCTTAACAATGATTCTTAAAACAAACAAATTGTGAAATTGTGGGGGAAAAATACTCACAAATTTTTATGAAATAAAGTGACCATGTTGTAAAACTGCTCAATCTAAGCCAACAAGCTTCTTCATAGAGGTCAAGGTTAAAAGGTGCACCTAGACTATCAGAATACTTCACACTGATACTGTCAGAGAAAAATGAAGGAATGAAGTTTGCAAAGACCAATAATCAAGAGGGAAGGCTGTACCAGAGCCCTCAGGTGGGAATGATGCTTGGAGGGTAAAATTCCTTCATTTCTCCAACTAAGTTCAGTTCCAGCCCACACATTGATCCAAAAGGCAGCCAAGGAGAGAAGGCAGTGGTGGCTGAAACTTGCTAAGTGAACTGGCTTATCCTTCTGTTATCTGCTTATCTACCTTTTTAAATCCACTTCCTCCTACAGACAGCTTGAGGACAATACTGAAGTGAAACTGTAGGATGAAATTTGCATAATATAAAGAACTGCATAAAGCTTTGAAGGATAGTGGTGACACAGGTCATACTTACTCTTTGTCTGTACCAAGCAATGACCATGGTCTCACTTGGTGCCTCCATTAGCTGTCAGACCTGCAGTATGACTACTAGACAGAACAGTAACAGCACTAAGAAAAAAGGAAAAATGCCTAAGTACTCAGAATTTGAAGGGAAGATAGTGAAAATTGGTTATTGTTTCACTTCTAAACATATTAAGAGGCCAGAGCGTGTGTTTCTATTAAGGAAATAACAATGAATGTGTAGTGTGAAAGAAATGCAGACTGATGCTGCTGGTTTGAGCAGCATCACCCCTCCTTCCTGAAAGGCTACTCTGTGCAGTCCAGCTCTGAGGCTCAGTTTACCTCCTGCTCAGCCTTGCTATGGCCAAAGTGGCTGCAGGAGTATCAAAATGTCATGTGTGGGGCAGCCAATGAAGGAGAGGGGGGCACCCAGCAGCCACAGTGGCAACCTACCACAGCAGGCAATTTTCCCACATGGTTCTTGGCATAGGTGCTGTGGGCTTTGGTGCCTGTCCTCTGTCATCCATCCCATCACTGCTGAGGGACACCTCTGCTCCTCCTGCACCAGCACATCTTGCCATGTGGGGAGCCTTGCTCAGGCAGGACTTGTTTTTTGTAAATATTTACTTTTACTAGACGAATATTCTCAGTAAGATCAGTGGTTCAGGCCAGGGTGGACAGGGTGGACCACAGGGTGGACAATTTCTTCATTTTTTTCCTGTGGGCTCACTGAAGAGTCTATGGCTCACCAGGGACCCGAGGACAGTGTAGGAACATAGTTTTTCCCATATGGGTTTTCAAGTAGAGGACAAGGCCCTTGAGTTCATGCAGGATAGACTGAAGCATAAATAATGTCATTTCAGTGTGGGGTTAGTCAATTTGTCCTTTTAGTCCTTTGAACAGCAGCTTGATCTATATGTCCATAAAAGCTTTCCTGATTGTGTGTGTGTGTGTGTGTGCATGCCTGACATACATAAAAGATGCACTAAAGAACTGAAGATACTGAAAAGAAATTCCGTAAAATATTTTTTACATGGAACAGCTGCACGTCAGGTCTCTTTAGCTTTATGTTAATTTCAGACAAGTAGCTTCAAATTTCTTAGTGCAAGAATCATGTTCTTTCAGCTATTCTGTAAAACTTCCCTTTTAAGCTCAGCCATCAGCATTGCTCTCTTTTTTCCTCTTTCCCCTTACATCTGCATCAGGCAGATCATACTTGTCTGGCAAGACGGTTGAAGTCACTGCCTTTCAAACTTGTGCTATGTAGTACATTCTCCTTCTTGTCCCTCATTTTGAGTAAAACTTTTTTCTTCATCTACTTGGAGGCAGGAAAAGAACAGCTTGGCTGCAAAGGGACATGTTCTGGGATCAAACCAGGCAGGGGAGCGGGGCTTGTGGAATGGATACAGCTCCACATCTGAGTTTCTATTCACCTTCATCTTCCATAGTTTGGGGTTTTCTGGGTTTAGCAGTAATCCAAGCACATCATTTTGACAGATCTAAGAGTGTTCCGTACATTAATTGGAATCTCACTGGTTTAATGTCTTCATTCAAGCAGTCTCTCTGATCATGGCACTGAAAGGGAAGTCTTATGCTATACATAGATTTATACGAAAAAAAAAAAGGAAGTTTTATGTGATTATGGTAATAGTTCATAAAATCTAGCAGACAAAGAATAATTTAGAATTCATTTATTCATAAAAGCAGAAGTTAATATTCTTGCCTACAAAAGAGTTTCAGACATTAATCTTTTCTCCTGAATTTCTGCTATTCTGCAGAGGTAGTTTGAATTGCTTTGCCATTACTGTTGTTCTAACTTCTTTTTTTTTGTTGTTGTTTTTAATCTCTTCAAAATACTGTTTTTCCTTAAATAAATAATGCTGATTCCATTAAGATGGTATCAAAGCTGTCTTCCAACTTTCCTACCGATTTATGTGAGTATTTGAACAGAACACTGAATTCTGGTCTCTGTTTTGCAGCTAAGCATTTTAATGGTACAGAATAAATCACTTCCCTACAACTGAAGGTTTAGGATTTAAGCAACTTATCATATTGTTTCATAATTTGCAAATTTCTGTCAATGGTGCACATTTACTTTGGGAACGGGGGAATACTGTTCTGTATGTTTGTTTATAAGTGTAATTTCTATCATTTCAGTAGGACACTGCTTTTTCTTTTTCTTTTTTTTTTCCCCCTTGATGATTCTCCTTTATTTCTTCAGTATCTGTCTTATCGGAGATGCTTCAATCCTCCCATATGTCATTTTGAACTGAGCTCATAAAAGCCTGGCAACAGCTTCAAATACTTTAATAGTTACTTGGGACCAAACTGTGTACTCCCTTGGTCTGACTCTGTTGAAAGCCATGCAGTTGAAAGCAGAAAAAAATGTGGCATGTAGCCATGAGAGAATTGAAGAGCGAAGACTATAGGAACAGAGATTCAGATTAACCTTTGTATTAACTTCACTGAAGAAATACATCTGGAATGTATTAAAACAATTTTTTTTGTGTGATCTGTCAGTTCTGTGCTGTCATTCTAGAGGGCAGAGCTTTAAAGCCCTTTCCTCCAGGTTAAATGAATTTAACGACTGCAAAGTGACAGATCACTTCAAGGTGTCTGTGGGGGGAATATGCTACTTTTCGTGATAGGTCCAATGCCTTTTCATGATTTTATTGGGCAGTTGAAAATACAGGAAAAATGTCTTGTGTATAAAATTTACAAATGACAACCAGAACACAGATTTGTTAGAGAAAGAGAGGAATAGGGAAGGCAGGAAATTTCAGAATTGCATCTGCCCATTTGCCTTTTTCCTAATAAGGCACGTTGGCTAATAAGTATTCCCTATTACAAGGAATAGACCATACATGCCCCTCTATGTGTGTGTGTGGGTGGGTGTGGGTGTGCATGCCCACAAGGATAGAAATAACTTAGTTCTCCTTTTTTGTTTAACTTCACTGATCTCTGATGAGCTTCTTGCACACCCCACCCTACCCAAGAGGTGTACAGCTGAAGGGTGACCTTGTCTTTTGGGTCAGAGAGAGGTTGGATGAGGCCACCTGTTTGGGCCATACAGATCTACATGTGTGTGCCCCAACTTCCCTGCCAATCTCTGCAGTTTTGGAAACTTGGCTAGTTTGAGCTGGTTTTGTTCATGGCTTTGTTGAGTTAATGGATGGGTGGCATTG